AGCTTTCTTCTCAGTCTCAGCAAAAATCTTATGATATCTTTGAGGTAAATGTGAAAAATGTTCGTTCCTCCACTTGTTGATTAATAGTCCTTGAAAAAAATGTATTTCCATATACGTAGCCCAGAGAGAAATGTCAGCACTTAGACATGCTAATCAGAAAAATACATTGTCTTTTAGTAAAGGTTAATTAAGACCCATCGAATTTTTTCCCTTAAAACATAAAAGTAAAATAATGTAATTAGCTATTTTTCCTCTCTCTCTCCCCAGAGGGCAGATGTAAATGTTCTACCTAAATGAAGCTATTTATTTAAATCCATCCAGATTCTTTTGAAGTTTCATACATCTTTCTTCTGCTATATCAGCTTATAGCTACAATAATTTAATAAGTTTTTCCTAGGGTGAAATTGGATGCCCTTTATCGATCTTACACCAAGGGGGCATTCAATTACTTAATCTAAAGTGGTATTTCTGGGTCTCTCAATTACCATTTTGTTATAAATGGCTTGCTAATGATGCTTGGGGTGCATAGGTTAATAGGGGCCATGCAAGCAAGGGCTGAGTAATTGAACACTTTCTATTTTGGGACCAGCTATCTGATCTCTCACAGTGGTACCGGGTTCCCACAGTCATGCTCTGCGTTTAGGGCTCAGAATTGAGCCCGGGCTGGGAAGCAGTCTGACTGAAGTGGATACCTGAGTGCTTTGGTTTAACTCATGAATGGAAGTGCCAAGGGTCCTGTCTAATCTGAGTCGACTGGCACCAAAACGTGGGCATTCCAGACAAGTGAAATGCGAGGGGCATTCATTACTTCTTTTTGAAGGAAGAACAACTTGAGTGTTAGGTTTCCGAATGGCTGTTCTTGGGATAATTTGTGGCGTATGGAAAAGGCCAATTAAGGAACATTAAGAGCAGTCCATTTGCCTTTCAATACAGTCACATTAGTTTGATTTTTCTTCGCTGAGTTATGTTATTTCATCGGTATACAGGTCATAAAGATCCTTTTGAAAGGACATGAAAGAATGTGTAGTGTGGCTCCCTTTTTGCACCTGGGCAGATCCCAACCCTGACTGGCCTTCTAGACCCTACAGAGCCTGGTCCCTCCTCGTCTTCCGTCAGGTTCCTACCCCACGCCGCCCCCCAGCCCCCCAATGCCACGCTGCCAGGGTCTGCGTTCCCAGCAGCCTCACAGCCTGTGACCCCAGCCCCACCCCCAGCCTGTGACTGGCTGCCTTCTAGTTGTTCAGGTTTCCCCGAATGTCCCCTCTGAAATGAGGTCTGCCCTGCTCACTCAGTTTCCCCTTCCTCTAGGGCAGCAGTTCTCACCGGGGGTGATTGATCGTGTCCCCGGGGGACATTTACCATGTCTGGAGACATTTTTGGTTGTCCCGTCTCAGGGGAGAGGTGCTACTGGCATCTGGAGGCCGGGATCTGCTAAACATCCTGCAGTGCACGGACAGCCCCTGACAGCTCAGGACACGCGCCCAGCACCACACTGCCGCCTGGGAGCCAGCCCCGCTCTGCCGGTTTCACTGTCTGCTCCCTTTCCCTTTTCTTCACGGCCTTTATGGGCGTCGGAGATGATCTTATCATCATTTGGGACTCCCTTGTGGCCTTTCGCCTGCATCCCCCAGCCCTGGTGCAACAGCAGCTCCGTGGGGAGAGGCCCCGCCCCTCGGTCACCCCTGCACCAGCCCTGCCGGTCAGGGGAGGGCTCCTCTGGAGCCGTGATGCGCTGGCCCTCGGGTGCCCATAAGCTGGTCACCTGGTCACAGGGTGGTTCTTTTTGCCTAACTTTACTGAAGTGTATTTTACGTACCACAGTGGCTCTATGTTTTGGTACAACTTGTAAATGTAAGATAGTTTTACATTTTTATTAAAGAGGCACGCCCCCCCCCCCCCCAGCAAATGCTCCCACTCTCCAGGCACCAACTGCCGCTCCTACCATTCAATTCCAGTCTGACACCACCAGGGTGAGCATCAGGCCTCACAGGTTTGAGGGCTCAGTCCCAAAAGACTCCTCCACATCAGACGCCAGTCACAAGCTTCGGGTCCCCAGGTCACCCCCACTCTGTCCAAATTGGTTACAGAGGCAGGGGTTTCCCGCCACCGCCTCCTTAGGTTCGATTATTAACTAGAACAGCTCACAGAAGTCAGGAAAGTGCTTTACCTACACGCCCTCCCAGCACCTCCAACGTGTCCAACAGCCCGGAAGCTCCCAGACCCTGTCCTCAGGGTACTGAGTACATCAGTGGCCACCGGTGACTGACTTAACCTCCAGCCCCTCTCCTCAACCTGGAGTTGAGGAGGACACTGAAAGTTTCAAGATTCTAATCAAGGTTTGGTCTGTCTATTCACCAGACCCCCTCTTGAAGCTATCTGGGGGCCACCACCAGTCACCTCCTCAGCATAAACTCGGGTGTGGTTGAAACAGGCTTGTTGTGAGTAACAAAAGATGCTCCTCTCACCCATCACTCAGGAAATGCTAAGGATTTTGGAAGCTGTGTGCCAGTAACTGAGGATGAAGACCAAATATACATGTATACATTTTTTTTACATCACACCCCCATCTTGTATTGGTTTCTGCCACCCTTCCCCAACCGGAACATGCCCAGCACACAGTCAGCCTTCAGAAAGTGTTGTTGAACAAACAAAGGAAGGAATGAATGGTAGGAGCTGAGAAAACACTGTCCCTGGTCTGGCGGGAGGGGCAGCTGCCCAGCAGACAGGGGCTTTCTGGCTGACCCCAGGCAAAGCACCGTCTTCATCTCTCCTCTTTCGGGACTGTCAGCTCCGGGACTCTCCAGGCTTATTTATTTACTTTGCTTCAAGGAAGATAACTTTGCTCTTGTTTAGGATGTTTTGCACATTCTGTTGTGTCCGGATTATGTACATTCTTGTCTTGGAGCTTCAGGGTCCATGTTTTGTTTTGCTGTTTAAAAAAATCTAATTAGACTTTCTGCAGCAGAAAGACACAAGGGTGCAAACTCCCTCCCCGCTGAGCCGCTGGTTGGAGTCTCATTTTTAACCCTGGCTCAGCCTTGTCTTCGACATGCGAAAAAATGTTTTCTTGGCCTTAGTGATGGAGTTTCCAAGTAGGGGATCTTGCCCTTTTGTTTCTTTGGTTTGAAAGAATTGTTTATACTAAGGGATGGGGCAGGGGCGGTTGAGCAAGCTTGAAGGGGAGGTTTGAGCCTTGAGTGTCCCTGCAGCTGCCCTCAGGGAGGTGGGGGGCAGGGCCTGGGATGTGTGGCCTGGATTCCCGGAGCCCTCCCCTCCCACGCACCCTCCTCTGCTCCTGTCCCAGCTCCCCTACGGCCTCTGCCGGACTCGGACTCGCATCTCAGCGCGCGCTGACTGGCCTTTCCCAGTCTGGTTCCTTGAGACCTTAGCAAGATTCCCTGGCCAATTATGTTTTGCCAATTTTGTGTATTATATTCCTGTCTCCTGGATTGACAGGGCTTTATTAGCATGTTATAATCCCTGAAACACCCCTCTGTAAACAATTCTGTGTATTTTGTCCATCCCACCTTTTCTTCAAATAATTTAAGCATGGAGCACTTACAACAACAAGCCAGACATTTTGTGGGTGGAAAACGTTTTGGGAAACACTGCTTGGCTATCTCTTGGCCACCGTATTTTGAGAAAACATAGGCTTTTCAGTCCAAGGAAAGTGAACATTTCTTCTGGTGGGTTCTGATTGTTCAACCCTTCAGCCAGTACATGGAGGCCCTAATGTAGGGTTAGTTAATACCACCTCTCTGAGGGCGGTAAGGATTGTTTGAGGGGTGTGTATGAAGAATTAGAGGTGAGTCTACTGCATTTGGGTAATTCTAAATCACTGAGGAATAATAATGTGGTATAGGCTCTCCTATGTTTGATCCCATTTCAAATATTCTTGATATTCACTGACCAATTAAAAATCATAATAGTAATAGTCATTGATGATGCTGTTGTTATCAATGTTATCTACCTTTTATGGGATGGTAAATATGTGTCAGACATTATGCAAACTCTTTACATGTATTAACGAATTTAATACTTCTTACAGACCTAGTAGGGAGGTACTCTTATTATCCTAATTTTAGTGGTGAGGAAACCAAGGCTCAGAGAGGTTATGTGGCTTGCTCAAGGTCACACAGCCAGTCAGTGGTGGTCTACCACTGCTAGAAACTAAGTAGTTCTTTTTTGCTCGTCCAAGGCTCTTTTTATGACATCTACGAAGAAGTGTCATTTGGACGACAATACATTTTATAATCACAGGATTCTATTAATGGATTTTTAAGAATCACATCTTCCCCAGAATAATGAAAGTGAAAAATTATTTTGGGGTCTGAAGTGCTATGTTACTCAGAGGAATACCATACCTTGGATTTAATTGCTTAATAATGTACAGTCAAATGGTTTTTTATATGATACACTCTACTGAAGGAGAGATCATTCATTATTTCTAAATTTTCATTAACTTTTGCCTCCTAATCTGATACTAAACGTTAGCTCTAGGTAAGAGACTACTGATGCTACTGGGAGGAAAGAAAACATATTTTCTCTGCCTCCTGCCATCTCTGCCTCCTGCCTTCCTCCTTAGTATTCTTTAGATTTTCATTGACTGAAAAGCACTGATATTTCAATTCATCCCTCAAACTCATAGTCATTGACTGTGTGTGAATCTGAGAATGATTGCAAAATCCTGGGATTCAGGGATCTGATAACTTAGATGTATCAAGACAGGGTGTTAGAGGATGTGTGGATTGTCATGGAGCTGGCGGTGCTGGTGTTTTTGGGGCTGCATTTGGTAGTGGAGATTGAGCCCCAAAGCCAAGCATAAGGACCTGAAGCCTTTATCCTGTATGATTTCCTATGACTTGCTTGTGACCAAGCAGGCTTTGCTGAAACTTACAAGTGCAAAAGAGAAAGTAAACATCTATTTCTCCTTGGAAGATGATCCCTGGGTTATTGCTAGTACCGCATAATGTAATAAAACTTATTTTCTTTTTGTTTAGGAAATCTAACATTTTTAAGAGTTTGCTCCCCATGAAGAGGAAACATTCCAAAGGAACTCAGGATGTAAAAGTAGAGACCTTTACAGGCGTTTGCATAGATGGCATGCCAATCCATCTGTCAAAGAGAAGACCATGATATCTTCTAATCTTGTGTGTGTTTCCATGTTCTCTGGCGATAATTCCTCTACTTTTTTTTGTGCCATGGGAAAAACCTGAAGGCCAGGCAGAATTGCTCCTGAACTTGTGAGCTTCTCTGTGGTTGCAGTGGCTCTTCTAGAACATGACAATTGGAGATCACTTCCTTTTGTTGTCTTTCAGAGCTGAAGCAAAGAATGTCCTTCCTCGTTCTCTAGTGCTCTGGTATCTGCTCACTGTTACATTTGTTTCTGTTGCTTGTGCCTTCCAACCATCTTATGTAATCACAAGACATCCTTAACATTTTCCAGCACGGCTTGCAGGCATCCAGACTCCTGGGGGGCTCACCCACAGCTCAATAAGCCAGTACTCCCGGGCACTACCATGAGACACTGCATTAATTGCTGCATACAGTTGTTACCCAAGGACGCACACAAACAGCAGGTTGGCTGCCGAGGAGGCCCCCATCACGGTCACCAGGCGTGCCCCACGTGCAGAGGAGAAAACAAAATTCTGTTTCATGTGGACAGTAAGCAGATGAACTTGCTGGCTGTTCTCGAAGTGAGGACTGAAGGGAATGAGAGCTGGGGTGGGATTTTGCGGTTTAAGAAGGGGAAGCGATGTAGCCTCCTTTTTGGACTAATAATAATGACCTTGGTGACGGCTTCTTACATCCTTTCTGGGGCCCACCAAGAGCCTCTGATCTCATCACCTTTCCATTATGGAGGCTTGCCCAGCAACCCCAGCTTGATGGACAGCGAAAATCCAAGCGACATGAAAGACCATCATCACCAGCCTTCTGTAAATAACATTTCATACCTGAAGGACTATCCAAGCATTAAATTAATTATCAACAGCATCACAGCCAGGATTGAGTTCACGACCAGACGGCTTCCAGACTTAGAAGACCTCAAGAAGCAGGAGTTGCATGTGAGTAGCCTTGTGCTAATCTTGATTGATTGTCTAATTTTTCAAATGGCTTCCTTTTCTATCACCATCTTTGGGGACACAGAATAAAGACAACTAAAAAATTTTCAGATATATCAAGGAGAATTTGACAGCCTTATGGATCAGAATGTGCTGAGAGAGCACTGTCTGCTTATGGTATGGAACACCAAGGAGGAAGTCTGCTGTCCTGGATGGTGCAGCTAAAAATGTTTACGGGACACCCCCTCTCATCATTGCATTCCAGAACTTCTTGCTTGACATATGATCATGGTGGTTAAAGCTGCTTTTGTATATCACCATTATTTGGGATTTAAAAGTTGGGTTCCATTTGATTTCCTGTTTCTATTCTGTCCCAATCACTATTTTTGTCTCTAGTGGCAATTTAGATATATAACTAGTATTTAGTTATATATATATATATAGTATATATACTATATATATATAATATAGTATATTGAAGATTCCAACTGTTTCATTCAATCAGATTGCTATGTGTGTATAAATATAGGAAAGGTAAATTATGATAGAATGGATTTTGATTAAACTTTTATCTTCATCCCCTCCCCCATTTTTTTTTATTTTAATTTTGGGAAAAGGAAAGCACAGTCATTGGCTGCCTACCACGTTTTGCTTTATTTTTAAATCGTCAAATAATGGTTCACGTCTGAACACTGCAGTCAGTATTAAGGCATGTTCATACTGTGGCTGGAATGTGTCTTCGCTAATTTTTTTGCACGTCTCCTTTTCATCGCAGATGTTTTCAGTCATCCCCAATAAGTTCCTCCCGAACAGTAAGAGCCCCTGCTGGTACGAGGAGTTCTCGGGGCGGAACACCACCGACCCCTACCTGACCAACTCCTACGTGCTCTACTCCAAGCGCTTCCGCTCCACCTTCGACGCGCTGCGCAAGGCCTTCTGGGGCCACCTGGCGCATGCGCACGGCAAGCACTTCCGCCTGCGCTGCCTGCCGCGCTTCTACATCATCGGGCAGCCCAAGTGCGGGACCACCGACCTCTACGACCGCCTGCGGCTGCACCCCGAGGTCAAGTTCTCCGCCATCAAGGAGCCGCACTGGTGGACCCGGAAGCGGTTTGGTGAGTGCTGGTCTGAGTGCTCCTGGCTCGTTCCATTCGTTCCCTCACTCTTTCTCTCATTCATTCGTTCCCTCGGCACACGTAGGGCTAGGGGTCCCAGGGAAGCAGGGAAGGGGAGGTGAGAAGACACTGATGCAGAAAGATCCGACAGGGGCTGGCACCCGGTTCCCAACCACCCAGTGAGCACTGATTGAGTGCCAGCTGTGTGCAGGGCAAGGGGATGGGTGCACAACCGACAGCTCTTGTTTTGAGAGCCTGGGCACATGATCCCAGCCATGAGCAGCAGGCAGGTGGCAGAGCTGGAAACATGTGGCCTGGGGGCCTGGCTCCCAGCTCTGTGCTGTTCAGGCTGCAGCCCCCCACGCCTGGGGGAGACCGAGCTGCTTTGGCCCTCAGCTTCTCTGACCTGCCCCGTCTGCCCCATGGGTTCCGTATGGAAACTACAGGGAGGTAAGTCTGGAGACCTGGTGTCAGCAGCCCTTGCCCCAGGGCTGACCTTGAAAAACTGCCTGTCCCTCCTTGCTCCAGCCCAGCCCCAGGCACCCTGCAGCCCTCAGATCACTGTTTCCTCTCTCTGACCTTTTTCCTTCTGCCAGGAGACGTTTGGTCACTGGAGCTAAGGGGTGATACATGCCTGTGTCAGCAGTACTCCAAGCGAGCCACCAGGGCATTTTCCACGTAAAGGGCCCAAGTTGCCTAGAAGAGAAATTTTCCTTAAACCAACTCTTAATGTGCTTCTTGACAAATGTTTGCTTTCATCCTGTTGATGTTCATCCTGGAGTGAAGGAAAGTGCAAATGTTTCTTTTGTGGCTTAGCAGCGGCCACTGTAGGAGCCAAGGTTTTGTGTCCCGGTGCATTTGCCGGATGCTTCTGAACACACCCCCCTGCAGCAGGGTGGGCGTTCTCCGCCCACGGCTCATGGTGATTTCCCCTTTAATGAAAACCAGCTTCCCACTGTCAGGGAGGAGGGAAGAACAGAAGTGTGCCTCTGGAAACTGGTCCTTAGTGTCACCTTGAACCTCTTCTTATTTTGCCAGGAATGTTCTCTTTTCAATTTCCGTGCACTTTTTAGCTGTGGTGTTGGGCAGTGTGTCTTTACAATGTTTGCAAGTGACATTTTTTCATTTTTGAGGCAATGGGTGAATTTAGGCTGTGTGTGGCTGATGCCAGAATCCATGTCTGTCCAGGGGATGATCAGTTCTCCTTATTGTTTGGACAGATGGACAGTCTGCTCGGTCGAATAGTCAGGGGAGGGAACATCAGGAGGATGCTGGTTGCCCTGATGAGGAACTTTGTAGGATGCTGCCTGCACCTATGTGGCCTGCCCTTTTCCCCCTCTTCCTGTTTGACACATGCATGCATCCTGATGTCCTTACTGTCCAGCCATTTTACAGTCCCACCTGGAGCACATGTTAACCAGCCCCAAACTCTCTGGCCTTCTAAGCAGACACATCAGTAGCTTGAATATGTGTGCTATCCTTTAAGCTGCCACTGCCAGGCATAGTGGTGGTGTCTTTCACCGTGTATAGCTTGGGTGGATTGAAAGAGACCAGCCAGTCCTCAGAGGCCCCCATCCCCACTTGCCCCTCCTGAAGCTTACCTGGACTGAGCCTTTTGCTGCTGCAGCTGGGCCTCTTGGGCCTTTCCATCTCTCTCTGGTGGCTCTCCAGGAGGCCACCACCCCAGTACTGGCAACTGTGTCCTCAGTGATTCCTGCTTCTTGGTTCTCATAGGAATTGTTCGCCTGAGAGATGGGCTGCGAGACCGCTACCCTGTGGAAGATTATCTGGACCTCTTTGACCTGGCTGCACACCAGATCCATCAAGGACTGCAGGCCAGCTCTGCAAAGGAGGAGGGCAAGATGAATAAAATCATTATCGGTAAGGCTTCTGCGTGGCTCTCGGGAGGGCTACCACCCTCCCCGGGGTCCCAGCTTATGCCCTGGGCCAGGCCCAGCTTTGCTTCACCTGCAGAACATTTGCATGGTAGCTGCAGACTTCTCATGAGCCTCCACTTCCCCACCTGGCCATCACTCTTATCCCTATGTAAAAGGTTCACCTCACTTGTACAATTATTATAAAGCAGAAACATTCAGTTGACTTTCTAATTCCCTGGAGACTCAAGGACAGCTGATTTTTTTTTTAAAGTTACCATTTTTAAATTTAAATGAAGCAGGCATATTTGATTTCTTTTCCTGATCTGCCGATCTGAGTAGGTTTGGATGGGGAATCATAAATGCAGTTAATTGATTTACTGCTCAGGGCTTTTGTAATTCTCGGCCGCTGGGACTATACGGAGGCAGCTTCTCCTGAAATAGACGCAGCCCTAACACGTTGCCTAGGACTAATTGCTGTTTTAAAGCCTAGCCCTTGTCAACCTGGCATTCAGAATGAGGTTGTTTGATTAATAATCATTTTAAAAAAATATTTATAAATATGTTTTATAAATAAACATTCACCCTTTTTTAAAAGAATTTTTATTGTGTTTAAGGTATACAGCATGATGTTTTGATGTAGATACACAAAGTGAAATGATTGCTGTAGTTAAGCAAATTAGCATATCCGTGTCCTCCCAATTACCTTTTTTTTCTGGTGGTACCCGAAATCTACTCTTTTGGCACATTTCCAGTATAAAATACAACGTTATTAACTATAGTTCTCATGTTGTGTATTCCATCTTTAGACTTACTCATCTGACAACTCTTTTTATTGGATTCAGCTGAAGAGACATTTATCCACTTATGCCTTTTGTAAGAGAGAAATGTAATCACATATTTTGCTTAAATTGTTTACCTGAGGCAGTGATCTGTTTTTTAATTTGCCTAGATCTGTTATGTGTTGATTCTCCAAATTAAATGAATCTGTTAGCTCCTAAGAGGAATTGTAATTAGCCCTTTGAAGGATGACTTTTTACTTATAACTCTCACGTCCAAGGGGACAGGCTTATGTGCCTATGCCCTGATTTATTTATTCTCTTTTTTCTAAATCTAGTCTAGTCACTGAGAGTCACCTCGAGTATGAGTTGGGTATTAGCTAACCTTTTGCAGACTTGGGGTTCAAACTCCCTGAATCACAAGTCTAATGTACATTTCACTGTGACTCACATACTATGTGCCTTTGGGAAAATCTCGTCCTCTTATGAAAGAGCTGAAAATATGTATCCTCAGGCTAGGAAATGGAGACTAGATAATGAAGAAAAAGGAAACCCTTAGTTTAGTTTTCTAATTTTGCTTGCTTCTAGATTTAAAAAAGAACAAAAAATAAAATTACTATGCTGGCACTTACATAAAGCAGAGTTTGGTGAATTTTATGGTAGCCTCTTGGTGCGACAGGCAGGGTAGAGAGGCAGATGAGCTGGCATCTAGCCCTGCCTGTGCCACCAGCCAGCTCTGTGCCCTGCAACAAGTCATTCTTCCTGTTTCTGTACTCAGTCTGTACATCTATAAAATGGGATTGTTGAATTGAACCAGGTTGGTTTCAGGCTACTCCCAGCGCTGAAATGTGATTCTACCCTACTTCAGCTCCTCTGGGTAGATCCTGGGCAGAGGCATGAGGGTCTGTCATCATCTTGGGCCCCTAGGTCAGAGAGGGCCTTTCCCAGCAGTCTGTGCTACAGCTAGAGTTGCGCTGGAGGTTCTGGACTCCTGTGACCCGAACTTGGGGGCTGACCTTGGGGCTGGGGCTTTCGACATGTTGAAAGGCACCTGCCTCTGCTCCAGAGCCCCCCTCGTGGTGCTGATGCCTCTCGAGTTGTCTGTGTCCCCTCAGGTTGTGAAGTCTGAGAGGGGAGGGGCTGTGCCGTGTCCCCCGTCTGTCCCAGTGCCTGGCACAGTGCGGAGCACACATGAGCAAAGCTGAATACTGTGAACCTGGGGGGCCAGACGCTAGTAAAGGTTTTATGTTTTGCTCGCTTTGGAGAGAAGAGCCCGAGGGGACACTCAGTGTCCCCTGGATTTCCAGACAGAGCTTCTGGGGGGATGGTCAGGAGGTGACACCATGGCAGGGCATCAGTCCTCCTCTGCTTGGAGTCCCATCTGCCGGCTGATCGGCTTGCCCATCATGGCTGTTGAAGATGCAGGCACCAAGCCAGACCTGGGCTCTGGGGCCCAGGCCGCCTGGTGGGAGCCCCGGGCCAGCAGGGCTCACTTGCTGCTTCTGCTTCCAGGGGAGGCCAGCGCCTCCACCATGTGGGACAACAACGCCTGGACGTTCTTCTACGACAACAGCACAGACGGGGAGCCCCCGTTTCTGACCCAAGACTTCATCCACGCCTTTCAGCCAGACGCCAGACTGATCGTCATGCTCAGGGACCCTGTGGAGAGGTGAGCGGTTCTGCGTGTCGTGTTTGGGGGAGGGGGGAAGGAAAGGCGCTTTAGAAGAACCATGTTTGCTTCTCATCACAAACAAGATTTTGCTGCTTTAAAAAAAAACAAACAAACTTAACTTGCAATGTTACTGCTTTTTCTTATGTAAATATTATTCTTGGGGCAATCCTCACTGTGTTTAAACAAATTGTAGACTATTTTCTTAGCCATCCTGACCCTGGTCTGTGGGTCTTCAGCCTCTGGCAGGCTTGACCTGGGGACGGGACGGTTCCCTGGGTGCTCTCAGGGCTTGGGCAGCACCCTCAGCACCAGGGGGCTGGGTTCCCCGAGTGGTTTCACTCCTGGATTCCCTGTCTCCCGACGGGTTCATGCCCTGAGTGTGCAGTCTCTAGCTTTCCTTGGATGACCAAGAGGAAGGGCAGTGATGGACAGACCTGCTTTGCCTTTGAGATCAGGGTGGCCCAGTGTGGACGAGGCGAAGCTACAGGCCTGAACAGACAGCACAGGGTGGCCTGGCCAGCGCTGGGCAATGCTTGTGTCATTGATGATGCCTGTGTGGATTGCAGAATCTCAGGGCTGCCAGGACCTTAAAAGTATTTAGCCCAGTGCTCCCTATAAGTTCCAGCAGGTCGGGGGTGGTGGGGGGGGGAGCAGTCTGCTCTGAGGTCCTCTGAGACAGGGAGCTCCCTGTCCAAGATGACCAAACTGGCTCAGGGCAGGTCTCTTCTTCCTATTTTGAAACCAATCTGTCTTTTGGGAGCATCTACTTTTTGCTCCAATTTCTTACCTGTAAAGCCACACAGACCAAGTCTGACCCTCCCACGGTGGGAGAGCCTGCCAGATATTTGCGCACGGGGCCACAGTCCTTCGTGTCTTATTTTACTTCGGGCTGTCTTGTCACGGATTGAATTATGCCCCTCAGCATGCTGTGCTGAAGTCCCAATCCCCAGTGTGTATAACTGTGGCCTTATTTGGATATAGGATCTTTGCAGATGCACTCAAGTTGGAATGAGGTCATGTCGGGTTAGGATAGACCCTTGCCCACCCTAGCACACAGGGAGCGTGCCCTGCAAAGAGATTGGAGTGATGCTATCACAAGCCAAGCAATGCTAAGGAGTGCCAGGAGTTGCCGGCAGCCACCAGAACCTAGGAGAGGGGCCTGGGACAGGTTCTCCCTCAGAACCCCTGGAAGGAACCAGCCATCCAGCCATGCCCACACCTGGATTCCAGGCTCGTGGCTGCCAGGCTGTGAGAGGACAGGCTGTTGCCGTGGTGCACTGCCAGCGTGCGGTGACTCGTTCCAGCGGCCCTGGGAGACGCACGCACCTCTAATTCCTTCCGCAGACGGCGCCGTCCTGGCCCCATACCTCTGCCACTTGTAATAATAAGGCGTGTTTGTTGTGGACATTTTGGGAAATATGTTAGAAAACTATAAAGGAAAACTATTTTCAAAAACACCTCTAATCTCCCACTCAGATAATTGCTATTGATATTTTGGTGTATTTCCTTCCAGACTTCTTTTCTATGCAGGTGTGTGTGTGTGTGTGTGTGTCTTGCTGCTTTCGCTCAGCATTGCTGCCCCCGCAGGACATGCTTCTGGGCTGCCCCACCTCCCTCTCGAGGAGTCCTCTGCATGGAGCCTGCTCCTCTGAGTGTGCCCCTGTCAGGGGAGAGCTGGCTCAGCCCCAGCCTCGGGCCCTAGAGCTTGAGCATGTGGTGGCTGTCCCGGTGCCACCCTGTCCCTCGAATGCCGGGTGTGGTTTCACTCTCTGCTCCCTGCATGTCTTCCAGCCTCGGGAACCATCCGCTCTGGTTTCGGGGCAGCCACTGACCTTGCTGTCCCTTGCCACGTCCTCCTGCTCCTGCGTGTCCTACACGCTTGGGAGGCAGGGACTTGGCCCCTTTCCTAGTGGTGGGCTGGTCTCCCTTGGTCTGAGAGCAGCTGACACACACCAGTGGGGCTCTCGTGATTACACAACCGCCAGCCCCGAAGGCTGCTGACGGAGCTGACCCCAGCCGCCCGCGGAGGTGTTTTCTCAGCTGCTCTGCCTCCCTCCCCACGCCACCCCGCCGCAGCACCCAGGGTGGGGACATTCTCTCAAGAGTGCATTCTCGGCTCACCAAACGTTTTCTGAGGAAGGTCACACTGAACTGCAGGGGGCCGGGAGAGAGTGAAACAGCAGCGTGTTGTAACTCTGTGCACCAGTCTGTAGGGACTGGGTTCAGTGTGTGCCAGTCCCGCTCTGGGCCCGGGGAAGACAGGAGCTCCCGGGCTGGTCAGACAGGCGTGGCCGCGGTTTGTCATGGTCCTGCAGATTCAGCAAGAGCAGGATGGGAGGGAGGGGAGAGGGCGCCTGAGTGCAGAGGTCCAGAAAGGTTTAAGCTGGAGGAGCTGATGCCAGCTGGGTTTTGAAGGATGAATAAGAGTTTGCTAAGTAAACGTGGAAGGTGGGTCAAGGGGAGGAGGCATTCTGAGCAGAGGGAACAGAGAGTACAAAAGTAAAAACCACGTGCCCTCCTGTTGGAGGTAGAGCCAGGTTCCCGAGTGTGCCTCTTTCTTTCTAGGGTTCTGGTTCTACCTCTGAGGACGAGCACGGTGAAGGTGAGCCTTGGAACAGGGAGGGCAGCAGCGCTGTACAGGTGCGACAGCTCTGCCAGAACGAGACCTGCCGCCTGCGTCTCAGACCCTGGCGGAGTTGCCATCTGGGAGGAGGCTCACGGGCCAGCACATGGTCTTCCCAAGAGGCCACTGTGTTTCCTTCTCTTATTTTTTTTATTTTTATTTTTTTTTTGAGAACAAATGCTGTATTTATACTAGGAACTGAAAGTGAAGGTTTCTTGCCTCCTTGGTCCTCAGTCTAGCAGCAGTTGTCCATCAGTTCAGCTGTTCACAGGCCCTTTCCGAGTGCTGGGCCCTGTGCTGGGTGCTGAGCTTACATACAGCCATGAGCGATGGTGGTGACAGGTGCCTGCCCTCTAGGAGTGGCGCTTTATCAGAGAAGCAGGACTGTGGCTTTGTCCTGACAAATGTCCTGGTACTGAGGAGGAGAAGGGCAGGACGCGGTGGCGGCAGCATGCATCGGGGTGCCGACCCAGTCCTTGCATTGCCTGCTGTGTTAGCTACTGCTGACAAGTTACCCCAAAACTCAGCGGCTTAAAGCAGTTTGCAGAGGTCAGGAACCTGTGTCGTCTTCTACTTCAGGTCTCTCACGGGCTGCAGTCTAGGTGTCAGCCAGGGCTGGGGGCTCATGCAAAGGCTTGGCTGGGGAGGGATCTGCCTCCAAGCTCACACGGTTGTGGGCTGAAGAGCTGTTGGCATGAGGCCAGGTCTCGCTGGCTTTTGGTGAGAGGCTGCCCTCAATACCTTGCCACCAGGACTGCCCAGCATGGCTGCTGGCTTCATCCAGGCCGGCAAGGGGGAGAGTCTCCTAGCAGGCTGGAAGCCACAATCTTTTGTAACCTAGTCAGAGACATGACATCCTATCTCCATTGCCATATTCTGTTGGTTGGAAGCACGTCACTAGGTCTAGCCATACTCAAGTGGAAGAGACTACAGGGTGTGAATACCAGGAATTGGGGATCCTTGCGGGCCACCCCCATTCTCCACCTGGACACTGGGGCTGCCAGCCAGAGAACAGTAGCTTCCAGCTGGATGCCAGCCCCTGTGCAGAGGGACTGTGTGTTGTGTGTGGGTCACTGACAGCAGTAGCTGTTTCATCACTTAAACATTTATGAAAATATCTAACAATAGGTATTCCTTCTTTTCTGAAACCCTTGACTCATGGCCTGTTTGAAATGACTGGCTCGTTACTCATCCCAGCTAGAAAGGGGATAAACGTTGCTGTGTGCTTGGGTTGCTCTTGAAGAAACAAACACTCCCAAGCCAAGTTCCGTCGGTCGGGGTCCCGGGCCATCGGCCCACGTGGTGGTTCCGTGACCTCGCTCGTCTGCAGGTAGGAGAGCCCTGGGTTGTGCGCTGCCAGTTGGATTGGAACGAATTGTTCTTTTCCTTTTACAAATTGGCTTGAAGGGGAAAAAGACCCACCTTGATTTCTAGTTTCAGGTTCACACTTACCCTTTACTTCTGTAATCCATCAAAGGTAGAGGGTTTGAAAATGTTGAAATTGTAGCCAAAGTCAAATCACTTTTAAGTTTCCAGAGGAGGATATAAACGGTTAAGTACATTTTTTTTTTTTCCCGGAGGAAAACAGGAATAATGGAAAGAAGTGGATGGAATGGTTCATATGGTGGGAGAGGCTAGCCAAGAATTCACGTTCCAAGTTTCTCTCTGTAGGAAAGCACAACAATTTAAGAGTAAATTGATGCGTTCCTATGCTAAATTGGCCTAGTTAATTAAAAAAAAAGCCATCACTTAGAAGCAGAGTTTTTCTTTATTTAATCTCATTTGTAAGTGGTAAAGACCATTCTTCTCAAATGCATCTCACACCAGCCTCCCGCCTCTTTGCTGGGGTAGCTGGTGGAGTCGCCTCAGCGTCCCGAGGCCCCCACAGCCCCCGTTCAGTGCGAGACGAGACGAGACGTGCTGCCCGCCCCTCCAACCTGGTTGCATTCCGCCTTCATTCCAGGGTCATTCGGAGTGGGGCCATGCACCGTCTGTTAAGGATTTTACAGCATCCTCATTTGGGTTTTAATCCTGTGCGGAGTCTTAACGCCGTGCCCAGAAACGGCCACCACAGGAAGGGCCGGTTTTCACGCTTACGCTGGCGGGTCCAGGGGGAGGGCTCTCAGCTCAGTGAAGAATTAGAGCTCGATTTTGACCAGAACCCCTGGAGCCTTGGAACCCGGGTAGTTGTTTTCTTCATCTGCTTATATAAGCTGGTTTTTAAACAGCCCCTGGACTGGTTAAATAATTCATCCATTTATGCCGATAAACTAGCAAGGGAACGAGGCTTTTAATGAAATGTATCCATTTCTGTGCAGTCACTCACTGGGACACAGGCCGTGATGGGGCCAAATGTTTGGCCAGGAGTCCTGGT